GACAGGAGGATCTGATGATTGACAGTGTCAAAAGGGGCAGATAGATCCAGCAGAATAAGAACTGATGATTTGGAATCAGCTTTTGCCATCCGCAAGGCTTCCGTGACTGACAGTAACGCAGTCTCAGTTGAATGGCCACTCCTGAAACCTGACTGGTTAGTGTCCAGTTTGTTGTTCTGTGAAAGAAACAATGATACCTGGTTGAAAATATGGTTTAGGATAACACATTTGTGGCATCATATAAGGGCCACTTTAGGACCACAGCCACATTAGCCATTGCTTACTGTGCCATATCTTTGCCAAAACTGGCCCAGATACACTTTAGGATAACTGGGCCACAGTTGTGGCATCATATGCGGGCCACTTTAGACTCACAGCCACATTAGCCAGTGCTCACTGTGCCATATCTTTGCCAAAACTGGCCCAGATACACTTTAGGATAACTGGGCCACATTTGTGGCACCATACGCGGGCCACCTTAGGCTCACAGCCACATAAGCCAGTGCTTACCGTGCCATATCTTTGCCAAAACTGGCCCAGATACACTTTAGGATAACTGGGCCACAGTTGTGGCATCATATGCGGGCCACTTTAGACTCACAGCCACATTAGCCAGTGCTCACTGTGCCATATCTTTGCCAAAACTGGCCCAGATACACTTTAGGATAACTGGGCCACATTTGTGGCATCATATGCGGGCCACCTTAGGCTCACAGCTACATTAACCAATGCTCACTGTGCCATATCTTTGCCCAAACTGCACATTTGCTGAAACATATGTGGACCACATTTAGTTTACACCCTGATTAGCCTTTGTCGATAATGCCACATTTTTGCCAAAGGTGGCCCACATTTGGTTGGCACAATTTGGGCCATAATCATTTACCACATGGGCCACTTTAGGGTCACATTCAGATTACACATTGCCATCAACACCGCATCTTTACCTACAGAGGCCCACATGTGATTTGATACATTTGGGCAATTTTTGCTGTTTTACATATGGGCCACTTCAGGCTTACATCCATTTTGTCCGGGCCATAAGAAGGTCAGCAGTGCCATATCATTGCCTTAAGTGGCCCACATCCGCATGCTATCTGGGGTTTAACATACATGTGTTTCTTTCATATATACATATTAAAGGAAAGCATACACTGCGTGAGTCTGGGAATGTTTCTTACAAATTTTAAAACAGAATATAATTGGGATTTGGTCAGGCCAGTCAAGATCTTCCATAACAGATTTAGTACACCATTTCTATATGGGCCTCATTTTGAGCTCAGAGGTGTGGTCATGCTAGAAGAAGGAAGGTACAACCCTTTCTATTAAAAATGTAATTTTAGTTGCTGAAATTCCCAGATCTGCACATTAAAAGGAGATAACTACAAACAATGTGCCATACTGTAAATCGTAGTATAACACGTGGTGAGGTCCTGCCAATATAACTGTCATGATCTGCACCAAAACACGAAGGCTGAGGATCCATATGCAGCAGTTTATTTAAAGGTAAATCCACAATCTCAGTCCAGAAAACAGGCAAGGGTCATTATAAACACTCAATCCAAACAATAGTTGAATTCAGGGCTCAGACAAACAGAGTAATCCAAGATACCAGGCAGAACGTGAAAAAGAACAAGACATGGAAATCCAGAGACAACAGCTAAGCGATGCAGACATAACCCAGAACCATAGGAAATCGAGACTTAGCAATAAGAAACAAAGAAACCAGACATTAAATAGATAGATCTAACAATGCAAAAGGCAAACACCTGAAAACAATCATGGCCGATCAACCTGGGCAATGAACTATGGAAAATGAAGTCCATGATGGCGGTAGAGCGAGCTGTAAGAGTGCTGGTGGTAGATGTAACAATCTTTCAGATGCTCCTAAAGCAGTCCAGGAGGGAGGTGAAGCAGAGGCGGAACAGTGGGAAGGATGGAGGGCCAGGATCATGGAGTGGAAACAGGACAGGAGACACAGGCAGTTCAGGGAGCCAGGGCGAAGCAGGAAGCCAGGGCGAGGTGGAGCCGAAGATCACCAGGGCGGAGCTGAAGACAACCACAGCAGGGCAGATGGGATCGAAGATCCCCACGGTGGAGCAGATGACCACCACAGCTGAGCAGATGGGACTGAAGCTTCCCATGGTGGAGCAGATGATGCAGGGGACCACCAAGATGGCTCAGGCTGGACTGGAATAGAGAGCACAGAGATTAACAATGGCCTCTGTGGCCATAACAGGACAGGCAGACTGACAGAAACTGCATTGTTGGCTGTGACAAGGCAAACAGAGAGTTCAGGAATGGCCTCCTTGGTCATGACAGGAAGAACATGGAGCTCAAGGGCAACCACTGTGGTTGAGACACGACAGAAGAGGAAGTCAAGTCAAGTCAAGTCACCTTTATTTATATAGCGCTTTTTGTATAGGAAGTCATAGGCTGACGCCAACACAAGACTGAGCTCTGGGGCTTGAGTGGACTCTGGCTGCAGTTTCACGGACTTGAGCAAGCTCTGAAACGGATTCATAGATGGAGAGGGCTCTGGAGCGGGTTCATGGACTGAAGCGGACTCTGGATTGGACTCATGGACTCGAGCGGGCTCAGAAGCGGACTCATAGACTGGAGTGGGCTCTGGAGCAGACTCATGGGCTGGAGTGGTCTCTGGAGTGGATTCATAGACTGGAGCGGGCTCTGAAACGGATTCATGGACTGGAGCGAGCTCTGGAACGGATTCATGGACTGGAGTGGGCTCTGGAACAGATTCATGTACTGGAGCGGGCTCAGGAGGAGTAACAGAGCAGTGTGTAGCCCAAACACACAAGATGGCTACCACCATAACAGGGAGCACTGTGGATAAGGGAACAGCCTCTGTGACAGCCAGTGTTGAGGCCCATGTGATGCCAGTTGCTCTGGCCGAAACCAGGGGTGGGTCCGCCAAACTAGAGATCAGTCCCAAATGCCTGAGTGTCTTCAAATGTATTATTCACGATGACCGGGAACACAGGAGTGGCATCTGTGATGGCTGAAGACTGTGGGATGAGGCTCTGGAATGGCGGAAATTTTATGAACCGGATCAGGTGCGGCGTCCATGTTGAGAACTGGCTCAGTTAGGTGCTAAAAGCACGGGACCAGTGACCATTATCTCTGGACCTGCTGGTGACCATGAGTGCAGGAACCACAGGACAGGAAGGTGCTAAAAGCACGGGACCAGTGACCATTATCTCTGGACCTGCTGGTGACCATGATGGGCCAAGCTCCATGGCCACTGGAGCTTGGTGTGCAGTGCCCCTCCCAAAAAATATATAGGGGAAGCATCCTCCTCTACTTCCTCAACAGTGAAGGAGGAACCATTTAACAACAGAGACCCTCAAGGACCATCACAGATTAGCTTAGATTGATGTTGTTCACTGAGTCAGTAACAAAAGAAATCAATGAGTGCATAGTCTGAGAAATTAGCAGTGTCAAGAAAGTCCTTAATATGGTCCTCGAGGGATCGATTACCTTGACGCAAACTGATTATCTTTACTGCTGGATCCATTGTGGGCCAAGTCTTCTGTTATGACCTGCACCAAAACACGAAGGCTTAGGATCCATATGCAGCAGTTTATTTAAAGGTAAATCCACAATCTCAGTCCAGAAAACAGGCAAGGGTCATTATAAACAGTCAATTCAAACAATAGTTGAATTCAGGGCTGAGGCAAACAGAGTAATCCAAGATACCAGGCAGAACGTGAAAAAACCAAGACACGGAAATCCAGAGACAATGGCTAAGCGATGCAGACATAATCCCTAACCATAGGAAATTGAGACTTAGCAATGAGAGACTCAGAAACCAGACATTAAATAGAAAGACCTAACAATACAAAAGACAAACACCTGAAACAATCATGGCCGATCACCCTGGGCAATGAACTATGGGAAATTAATTCTGTGATGTAAGTAGAGCGAGCTGTAAGAGTGGCGTACAAGGGCACTCACAGCTTGCAGATGTAGCAATAACCATCAAGACTGCATCTGAAGAAAGTAGAATTGGTTGAAGTAGCTTTTACTGGCTCATCTGCCAGAAAGCATTCTCTTGTCCAATGTCACCAGCAATATGGTAGGTTCTGCATAACAAGGGGGGAAAATCACAACCAATTTTTGGTCAATGCTTAAATTGATTATTCAAGCAGAAACATTATTTAAACTTTTAACTGTAGTCAACTTCTGAAGGACTTCATTTAAAAGCTTTAATAGTTTTATTTTAAAATGAAATCAAATGGCTTTATATAGTACAATAAATATTGGGCTCATATTTTACCTCTTTCACAGTGTTCTGTTGTTTCACACAATTTTGTGAAGAGAAACAGATCTTAAATCAGTATGTATAGCCACTTAAACCTGTGTGGTTGAAAGCTTGATGCTTATTAATGTATGCTCATAGGGGCAGGGTTTTAATTAAACTGCTCCACACATCACATGACACTTCTTAATCTACATTTAAACAGTGCCTTTATTAAGTATTTAGATCCCACTGGTTTTCTTTTTAGCAAACAGTTGTGTGTACACACAAGTTGTATCTACTCTCCCAGGATCAGGAAACAGTCCTCCATAAAATGTGCTGCACACATCTGAATATTTGGGTTGAAGTGTTCTGGAACAGTGTTGTAAATACAACTTAACCACTGATTTCTAGTCGTGTCCATTTTTGGAAGGCCAAACAAAGTAGTTTCACTTTCACAACGAAACAAAACAAAACACTGTTTGGAGGAGCAATGAACCAATATGTGACTCAAACAGCTGGATTAGAGAGAAAACTTAAAATAGAGAAAGACAAGTAATTTGAATTTCAGATTAATAATTATATTTGAATTACTTCTGTAATATTGTTGAAGTGTTGCAATTTTGTAATATTGTTGTAGTATAAGTCAAAGCAAAGCAAATTAAATTAGGATATTTAAAACTTTTGCTGTTAAGAATATGTTAGCCTCTATGAAAACTGAATGACAAAAAATAGATATATTTTGAATTTTTGTTTTAATTGATAAGTAATTGGATTCAGTGTAATTGGAATACATTGGTTTGGGAAAAACTATTGTAACAATGGAAAAAAGTGTGGCATGAATCTAGACCAACAGGAAGATCAGGCCATCTAAATTGAGCAACAGTACAAGATGCCTAAAACTTTGACAGAGTTGCAGAGCTTTTTGGCTATAATGGCAGAAGCTGTCCAGACATCAACAAGCTCTTCAGCACTTAATGGAGTTGGCCTATTTGGGAAAACTGCTAGAAGGAAGCCACTTCTGAGAAAGGTCAGCATTAAGTCATGCTGGTAGTTTGCTTTTGAATCCTGATACAAAACCTGAAACCTTTTGGTAAAAGAAACATATGGTCTGATTAACTGGCCTGAAAGCAAAGTCTTGCATTTAGTACAAACCAAATGCAGCCCAACATGATGCAAGACCATTTCTGTATTCAAGCATGGTGACGGCAATGTCATGCTCTGGGGTAACATTTTCAGCTGAAAGAACTGGAAAACTTGTTGCCATCAAGTGCAACCAGAAGTCAAAAACAGACAAATCCCTGAAGAGAAGATGTCATCTAGTTCTGCAAATCTGCACTTAGACTGAAGGCACATTTTCTTCCTTGGCAATGGCCCAAAACAGAAAAGCTTTGAAGAAATTACTCAAAAAGTGTTTTGGGACTGTCCTGCAAAGAGCCCAGACAGAATGTCAGCTGAAAATCTATGGTATGACCTGACAATTTCAGTTCACTAACTGTAATTTCTATTGGTTAGAGCTGGGTAAGATTATTGTTGAAAAATGGTATAATGGACCAAATGGAACTTAAATGGAACTTAACACATAGACACCAAAGAAAACTGTAAACAACTTTTTTTTTTAAATCAATCTTAGCAAGTTGGCATTGTTGTGCATGACCATCACCACTGTAGTGTGCTCCTGAGTTTGTTGATTTTAATATGTTTATGTTTTAACTTCTCAAACACTTTTGAACATCAGATGATCGACTGAAGGACTATTTAATGATGCATGGAAAAAAGAGTTGTTGTGGAGGAAAAACTGCCAAGCTTAATGTTTTTATGGTGAACAAATTAGAGTACATTTCTGGTATGAGCTCACTGGCACAAAAACTGGATAGCACCTGTTTTGTTTGGTAGTGTCTCCTGGATCCATCATATGTGTGGAATATCCCTGTACTCCTAGATGCAACTCCATAATAGCCTGTATATCATCCATATCAATTTCGGCATAGCAGCATGGACAGACGTCCATGTGTCTGGTTGTCACGATCGCTAGCTGGAGTACCCTCTATCCCATTCTACCCCATGCCCTTGTCACTACTCACCCCTGACTCTTGCCACTCTACCCTGGACTACATTTCCCATAACCCCTGTCTAGGAACTCATTTTCAGACTCCACCTGTTACCAATCAAGAGGACTATAAATGATGCACACACACTCACTCACAAGGCTCAGTATTGATAGCCTGTAATGCCTCTGTGTTTTCAAGTTCCTTGTTGCCTTGCCTTGTCTATTGAACTTGGACTGTTTATCCTGGATTATGATAGTTTGCTGCCTGCCCTGATCATTGCCTGTTTGTTGGATTACTCTTTTGTCTCATCCTGGATTGTACCTGTTTGCTGTTGTTTGACCCTGCCTGTTTTGACCACTCTTGGAATAAAGCCTGCACTTGGATCCACTACTGCATTGTCATGCATTCTCACGTTACACTGGTTGAGTTGGAGGACTAGAATCAGTTATTAAAGATACGTTGGTATGTAGAACCCTTAGGTGAGAGATATATAGTACTTTTGAAATTCAATTGATGGAAATGGAATTTTACTTGACAATTGCTGTGGTACACCAACCCCCCGAACCCCATAAAGATTTGCTGATTTTCAAGATGAGTTAGCAGATTTTTGAGTCAGGTTAAACATAGTGGCCCACTGCCTTGTATCTTGATGCGATCTCCCCAAATCTCTTCAAACAGGTGTTTGATGTAATCAGGTCTAACTTGCTAAAAAATAATCATGAAGTGTATCGAACTATTCACAATATTCTCCTCTTTTCTCTGTCCCCCTCAAACTACTTCCACTGGCAACCATCAGCAACCAGTTCCACTATGGACCAGTCTCTCTTCTCCCTTTTCAGTCAAAAATGTTTGAAAGAGTAGTGTTCAGTCAGGTTTCTGCTTCTCTCTCACAGAACAAGCTACTTGACAATGACCAGTCTGGCTTCAAAAGTGGACACTCCACAGAGACCACCCTGCTGACCATTGCTGAAACTCTTCGGCTAGCAACAACGAACACCAAATCATTTGCTCTTATTCTGCCT